TTTTACATATTTTTTTTACATGCAGTTTCATTATTCTCCAGTGCCTTCAAAAACTCAAACTAAACTAACACAGCCTGGAAGAAGTCTTTATAGTTCCATCTAAAAGTCAATAGCTAGCCATGGCTGTAGTGAATGAAGCTATTTAGTTTTATACTTCTAATTGACTGGAAGGTACTGCAAACACGTTTGTTCCTGCAAGGATTTTAAATGTTCTTCTTACAAAATTGTATAACTTAAGGACTTAGACTATTTCCAAGAACTTAGTATTTACATCAATCAAAAAGTTTAAAAATCAATGCTAGTGATATAATTTCTTCAAAACTTTTTAAAGCAGAAATCATTTCAAACATTTAAATTAAAAATGTCTGTAATAAAAGTTTACTTAAAAATCATGTTAACTATTCCTCTGCTGGAGATGGTAAAATATTTACTTTTTAACCTCATTTCATATACTGCTAACAGTAAAATCAAATTTTAGGGATCAATTAAAGAAAAATATTAGGAAAAAAATTTGCAAATTAAAATACATCACTAATGCTCCTCTAAGTGTTATTTATTATAGTAGTAGTCCAGAAAATAACCAAAATGATAATAGGGTAATAATTAGGTAAGCTGCAGTTGTCCAGCTGAGTATGTATTCATATAAGTTGATGTGCTATTCTTACTGCTGGCCTGCACATACCATGTTGCAAATACAGAGGGGAAAGAAAGCCAAAAACATTTTTTTTTACTATTATGTTTTTTTCTTAAAGTAGGACAATATAAACAATTAAAATCAATGCATAAAATATGCAAATATTTAATTAATAAACCAGCAAGAAGGATTCCTGGCATATTTCTTTTTAGAATCAGATTATGAAGAGTGAGAATTCTATGTGATGATTGCTATATGAAAAAAATTTCATTGAAATTATATTCAGTAAAGATGATAAACAGACAGGATGATGTCTAGCAGACAGACCACCATCTGAGGCTCAGGAACAATATTCACCAGGTTGTAAAAGTGGGCAAAAAAAAAAAAATGAGATCATTCTAAGGTGCGGTGAATTTTAGCAACCAAAAATATGAGCTAAATTGGTTTGGTTTTATAAAACCAACCTCCAACTAATGAAATAATTGATTCAGGCAAGGATCATCAATGGATGCTAAAATCAGTGGATTAAAAGTTGATGGGGAAACAGAATATTGACACAATCCCAGATATTACCTCAGATATCCTTAATTACAAAGGGGAAAGGTATTTACATTGGAAAATTCTGGTATATGCCATATTTCGTAGCCAAGAGATCAAACTAAACATCAATAAGGAAACAAAGTAAGCTTATGTGCCTGCATTGTGAAGGAAATATCATCTCTGTAGTATTTTTGCCAAAAATGTTTAACCTGATTCTAAACATGAAGAAACAATTGAACAAACCCAAATTAAGGGACATTCTCAAAACACTGGCCTGGACTTTTCAACAAATGTTAATGCCTTAAAAGACCAAAAAAAAAAACCAAAAAAAAAACTATAGGAGCTTACAGAAACAGGAAAATCAAATGTAATGTACCATGATTGTTGATTGGATCCTAGATCAAAAAGAAAAAAGAATACACACACACACACACACACACACAGAACATTACTGGGACAACTGGAGAAATTTAAATATGGTTTACATATTAAATATCATTGTGTTATTAAATTTCTTGAGTATGATCATAGTATTGAGGTTATATAAGAGAAAGTCCTTTTTCTTAGGATTCATATGCTAAAGTACTTCCTGGTGAAGTAGCATGGTATCTGCAACTTACTTTCAAATGGTTCAGGAAAAAAAAGTATGTGTTTATTAATATTAGAGAGAATGAGATAAGTAAATGTGGCAGAATGTTAACTGGTGAATCTAGGCAACATGAATCCAGGTGTTCACTGTTATAATTTCTCTAAATTATAAGTTTGAATTTTTAAAAGTTGGGGGAAGCAGGGAGGACACATTTATGTATTTATTTTTATATTCATAAATATATGACAAATAATGGAAGGATGCATAAGAAACAAACAAAAATAAGAGAACTAGGAGACAGGAAGGGGATAGGGTAGAGGAGGACAAAAGGTGTGGGTGGGAGATTCTCTGCTGTATGCTGTATTGTGCCTTAACATTTTTTTAAGCGTTAAATGTTTTATATATTTAAGAAATTAATAACATAAATTTTTTTTTAAAGTTCCAGCAAAGGTACTAAATCTTTTATGGAGTGATCATATTGGTTTTCTTCGGAAATTCCCAGGGAAACATTTAGGTAGGAAGGATTATCCAAACATCTAACATCTGTGATTTTCTTTTCTTAATCTTGGTGAAGGGTATATCAAAACCTCTGGGCTGGGCAGAGAAGTGAGCAGAGTTTTTTTCAGTCATCCACTCCAAGTGGGCATGCTCTCACCAGTTGAGAATCACTGATCACAAAGAGAAATACTACTGATGGAAATGTATAAACATGGATGAGTGGGAGAGGGAAAAAAGACTGAGAATCTACACAGGATGGCTGTAGCATGGTCCATTCTACTGCTATACTTCCAGTACCACCTGAGGTTAAAGCACCCAGACCCTTGATATCAGCTGCATCCTGGGACCTGCATGCTGGGAAAAGAAAGTGCTCTGTTCCCAATACCCACCTAAGAGCCCGCCGCTCTGGGTAATCAAGGTCATAACTTTGCACAGAGTCACTGCAAGAATCCCGCGGACTGCCCTGACGCAGCGGAGACAGGGACAGGGAACTGGTGCGCAGACGCGTTGGGCAGGGCGGTCGTGTGGTTAAGGAGGTTCCTGGGATGCTGTTGCTGGTCTCACTGCGACAGTCACTGTCTCGGTCATCGACAGCACTATCGGGATCTTCGAACGAACACTGGGGCGGCAGCATTGGGCAATGGCTTCCTCGGGCTTTCTTCTTGAATAGAATACTCATTGTCAGCTCCCAAGGCATTGATTTGCACCAATTTGTAGGTTCAATATCTGGCTTCCTCCTCTGGGATATCAAAAGGCAATGCAAATCTAGTATCAAGCAAAATTTTATGGGGAGTTGGGTCTTTAGTTCCACAGATCTCATCACCTTTCATTAACGTCTCTGTTGGACCACCCGGGCCCTTCCTCATCTGACTGTCGAATCGTCTTCAGTGCAGTGCACACGGTCCCCACCATGGTGTCCCAGATCAGACCTCTGCTCCATACCTCCACACACAGACCCAGGTCCGGGCGACTAATCTCAAACATAAAATCTTGTTCCCAGGAAGGCTGATCACCACGAACCGCTACAGTTGTGCTCTTCACATTCAGCACTTTCAAGGTCACGTAGGTGTTAAGTTTATCTGGTGAACCCTGGAATTTGGCTCTTTTAACACGCACGCAGGGCAGCGACATGGCCGAGACGCCGGCAAACCTCCGCGGCGCCGCCGCACCCGGCCGCTCCCTGTTTCCTTTCAGCAGGTGACGCGGCTGCTCCCGCTATCGGCGCAGGGGCTGGCCGCTCCTCGTGGTCCCCGTCGCAGGCAGTGTTCTGCAGCTCCCCAGGACTCGCTCCAATTCTCACCGTCTGAGGGGGTTCCCGATAGTTAGGAGTACCGGCCGGCGGGTGGGGAACTGGGCGCGGCCCCGCGGCGCCATCGCTGGGAGGCAGGAGCGACCGGGACTCCCTCCCTGCACTCCACCTAATCCATTATGTTTTTGATATAAGGTCAATTATTTTCTACAGTTGATGTACCAAAAAAATACCCTCATCAGAATTCTTCTCACAAATAAAATGGCAGTCACCAAACAGTCAAGTTAACCTCATCCACTGCGTTACTTTTTTGGCGGTGCTCTGCACAGAAGCCCCTCTGAGTCCAAACCACTTTGTGTAGCAACTGCCCTGCAGACAAAGAAGGCTCAGATGGCAGCTTCTCCGTCCTTGAGCTCAGTGATTCTCAATCCTGTTAGGCCCAAGATGTTCTTTTGGTAATGAGTGTTTTGTAGCATACCTTCTACAATATTGAAATAATATTCATAGTTAATAGAACCAACTTACACGAATCACAGTATTTCAACTGTAATATAAAGGAGAAAGAAAAGAAACATGATACCAATATGTAAATGTTGAGCATAATGAAGTATGTAGATGTGATGTGATTTTCAAAATGCCAGAAAGGTCTCAGTAAAGATCCAAACAAAGCAAAGTACAGTTTTTCCTCAATTTACACGGTACCTGCGTTTGTGAAAATTTAGTGTATTTTAAAATTGTGCAAAAATGTGCTTTATGTTTATATGTAACAGTTAGGTTCCAGGCTCAGATAGTTATACAATGGTTTCTCACTGAAGGACTGTCTGGTAGGGTGTTAGAAAGTTGTGCAGGAGTGACTTGAGCATTGCAGGACACCCTAGCACCTTTGGCCCCTGCCCATGAAATAGCCCCACAGATTTTGGAAATGACCCTGAAGTTCATACCAGCCCTGCTAAGAACCACAGCTCTCTCTAGTTGCTCTTTGGGCCATTGGGACACCAACGTCCCTACATCACAGAAGATACTGATCCCCAGTCTAGTTTGTCACCTTTGTGTGAACAAGGCATTCATTGCTTTGTTCCTGTTTTATCCCTAGGACCTGGCCCATGGTATGTCGTTAGAAAACATTTGTTGAAGGAAAGAATGGATGGATGGATGGATGGACAGACGGACGGATGGGTGGATGGACAGATGAGTGGGTGGATGGATGGAAAGAGATTTTCCTCTTTGTTCTGCTTTGTAGAACCACCCTTTTGATAATGTTTCTTCTGTTTTATGATTTGGGAAGGTTTTTAAAAATTATGCATGAGGTAAAAACTTGTAGAAGTCATCTGCCTCTTGAATAACATTTACTGCAATCAAAATGTCTGTTTTTTGTGTGCGTGCTGTTTCTCTCATCACCTGTCTAAGCTTTTATTTTGTTAAACTCAGGGATGTAGGTACATCATTTTCAGCATGTAAATCTACTTATGCCTTTTCTTATATCTTTCTAGCATGGGAAGAGTTGGCCTACTATGAAGAAAACACACGGGATTTTCTTTTCCCTGAGCCCAAGCTGACACCTTCTCACCCTGGGATGTGTAGGGAGGTGCTCATGAAAACGGCTGCAGGTTTTCCAGTAAGTGATTGTACCCAGCATGCCTTCTATTGGGAGAAAAAATTCTTGGGACATGAACATTTCATTCCTGATAGGGCTTGCTCTTGCGCAGATCACTTCATCTTGGTTACTCTGTTTAGCAGACGTCTTTAGATGCCCTGCTCAAAATACCAAATTATACTGATTCCCATTATTTATCTGAGAGGTGGGAGTCTTACCTTATTTGGCTAAATCATTACCATATCCACACTGTCACATAGTTATAAAAAGGATGCTTTTAAAAAATCTCTTAATGCAGATTAACTGAATCATTTAGTATCAGTTTATTTAATCATAGCTATTATTTTAGTAATAATAACAACAGTAAAATAGAGCAGTAATAGTAATAATACTACCTCTCATTTATTTTGCACTTCAGTTTTTCATATGATACCTTATTTTTCTCATAACAATTTTCAAGTCAGCCAAGGCAGATATTATGGTCTCTGCTAAATGGAGGGGAAACTGACAGAGGTTCACAGACTGATACTATTGAAGGATCTTAAAAGACACAGCAGTTATTCAGTTGATAATCTAACTGTTTGGGGGGAATAATCTGAACCCAAATTCAAAATATTCATTTTGATGTTATCTGTGGTGATTTCTAACTCTGCAGCAACTCTGACAATTTTCTCAACTTTTATGTTACTTGGATGATTGCTATTTTAAGGGCCACATCTTTGTGAATTATAAAAAGTGTATTTAATACTCAACTTGTGTTCTGAATCACTAATTTTATAGTTTAATAAAGTGTTATTTTCTGTGTTTTGTTGAGTGTACTGTGCAGAATATATAACATGCAGATTCCCTGTTTCTTAGAGATGTTCTTTGTGTATCACTTACATCCATGGTACTCGTGAGATACTTGCCTTTATTATTTTGAGTTATTGGGTTATTACTCTTTAGAAGCTAAAAGGGGATACAAACTGGTGAGAATCAGGTGGAGAATACACTTTATATTAACTTTGGTTTGCCTGAGTTTTTTATTAAATAAAAGCCATCTATAAACATTGGGCTGGTAACCAGCTAAGTTTCAAGACAAGGGGAAACGCACCTTTTTATATTTTTCCAAATGTTATCTCTGTTTAACTTAATGAGCATAAGTAGGAAGAAGAACTCATAGGAACTTGTGTTTGTAGTTATTCATAAATGCAGGTAATCATTAGGAAAAGGGCTTTAAAACTGTGGAGAAAGACCATCGTGTGTTAGAGGTAAAGTATCAGTTCTTACAATGAAGTTAATCAAATATATTTTAAACAATTTATACAAAGGTAGAGGAGCTGAGTTTCTTTCAAATGTCCTGTAAAGCAAAATAAAGCCAATTGCTGCAGTTTTAATAACAGTCAACATTCATTGTGTGCTCACTAGATGCCAGCCACTGTGCTGAGTTCGTTACCTAGATTACCTTGTTCAATCCTCCTTAATCCTGCAAGGTGGCTACTATTCTTTCCCTCATTTTATGGATGGGGACGTTGGCATAGAGAGTTTAAGAAAGGTATTCGGAGTCACAGAGCTGGTAAGCGATGGAGCAA